TATTGTTGGGTGGTTACCTCCCTCCGTTTTCCCTCCCACCCACCCCTTGCATGCATCCCGTTTCGGTACAGTGCCACGTCAGCAGTGCCACGTCAGCAGTGTCACGTCACAGTGCCAGATCAGCAGTGCCACATCAGCAGTGCCACATCAGCAGTGCCACATCACAGTGCCAGATCAGCAGTGCCACGACAGCAGTGCCACGACAGCAGTGCCACGACAGCAGTGCCACGACAGCAGTGCCACGTCAGACACTGCCATGTCAGCAGTGACGTCCGACACAGTGCCACATCAGCAGTGCCACGTCAGCAGTACCACGTCAGACAGTGCCACGTCAGCAGTGACCCGCCACCATGACAGGCTCACTTCTGGGCATGACAGGCCAACTGGCAAATGAATCCATTGCCGAATACCGACAGCGGTTCAAAGCTCAGCTCGCACTAATCGCGGCTGAGGAGCAACGCCAGCTGGCAGCCAAGGCTGCCCAGCTACAGGCTGACGAAGCGGCAGCAGCAGAGAAGCTGCGGCTATAGGCCGAAGCAGACGCAGATACCCAGGCTCGCCGCAAGGAAGCCCAGGATATGCTGCAGTGGCATGAAGCCACCAGCATCAACAGACTCAAGTTCTGGCACTTTCAACCGAACGGCGACAATCCAACACCGGAAGAGAAGCACAAGGAGTTCCTCTCCAAACTCGTGACGTGGTTGCTGTATGCTTGCAACTACCAACGGTCAGAGTTGGAGAGACAGTACCAGGACCTGACGCAACAGCATCAGGAGTTGGCGACGCTCCGCCGCACGGTGCAGAGCCACGAGGATGCAACTCGGGCACTCAATGCCCGATTGCTGGACCTGGAACAGGCTGTACCAGGACCAACTGCTGAGGCTTCCAGCAGTGCACCCTCTAGCCGCCAACTGGAGGAACGCGTTGACCACATCCTGGCAATGCTCGGCGACATTAACACCTTCGCTGCGCCGTCCACCATCAGCACTCAGCTGCATACCTTGAAGACCGAGGTCCAACAGCTGCAGTCGACGAACGCAGATGGCAATCAGAAGATGCCAACTTTCCAACTAGAAAAGTCGACGACTACACGCAGCAGGATCCGACCCTCTGTTGGGAGGCATTCACGACGCAACTCAGGATTCTACCTGTCGCTAAGCACAAGTACATCGGCGCCCTGTTCCTGAACTCAAAGGGCGGATGCCAGACCTGGTTGACCCACCTGGCAACCTTCCACGGCGTCGACGTAGCGGACCTCAAGGACAAGATCACATGAGAAGAACTGTCACGACTGTGGAAGAAGCGGTTCATCGTCGACGACGCGCCAGCACTCGCCATCAACCGACTGTTCGTCATGTCACAGGGCAAAACACAGCAACACGGGACTGGCTCACAGAGTGGCAGAAGATTGCGGCTATGCCCAATCTGAACTTACCATTCGAGCATCTACGCCGTGAGTTCTACAACAGGCCCTGTGCTGCATTGAGCCAGGCTCTTGGTGATCGCGAGCAGTACTCAACCTTTGCTGAGATTATTGACAAAGCAAGGGAGATCATCAAGACCAACAGGTCAGCTGCACACGAGAAATCAACATCATGGCAGCCGACCTATGTGGAGAAGGTACGAACTGGTCCGCGACAGCAGCACTTCGCTGCAGTCCAGCAGGACAGTGGAGATAACCCAACAGCCACTCCAGCATCAAGTGACGGAGATCAGGTGGCTGCTGTCCAGACGCGAAGCACTT